TTATAGATGCAGAGGCATGTTACGTATAGGAGAAGATGGAAGGAAAATAGAGATAGGGGAGAGAGACAAAGGGAAAGAGAGAGATGGGGAAAGAAGATAGAGATTATGCAATTCTGAGTGTTTCTGTTTGTACGTGTTTATACAGTGAGGAGATGGTTCGGCTGCATTCCGACAGCTGCCGTTGTCTCCTGAGAATGCCAAATGGAATGTGAATTCTGTTGGTTAGGCTCGAGCCCGAGGAATACCGGTATCAATGCAAACTACTGCTCACTTCTACGCGAGCATCCAGATGCGTTCATCTGACATCGTCTTTCAACCTATTCTACGCTACTGTAATGTCTTCACCGATTATACCGATGCGATTTGTATTTTAAAAGTCTGAAAAAAATAATAATAATAATGATAACAACGATAAAATCGTAAATTTTATAAATTGAATATCAAATATGATCGATATATACCTTTTCAAAATTTTTTTCTTTTCGTTCTTTATGATTTGATAATCGTTCCGCCCGTGGAATAATCAAATTTTTGATTATAAGAAGAAGAAAAAGAAGAGGAAGAATTTTATTCTTAGCGATTGCTAACCTCGCAACCCAATTAAATTACTTAGAAGCTTAATGCACTGTTGCCATTACGTGGTATAAGAGATGAAGAATGTTTGTATCACAGTTGGCCAAAATTAATTTACTATCGTGACGTATAATTAATCTGCGGCAGAAGGGGACACGCGCACGAGCACCTTCCTTGCCTATTACTCGATTCCTACGTAATAACTTCTAATCCTCTCTTTCTCTCCCTCTTCCGTGTATCCTCGCGTTTTAGCTTCGTCACGGGTGAAAAGGCGCGAATGGAATGGAGGCGTGGAACTAAAAAAAGAAAACTAAAGAAAATGTAAAAGGACGGAATTTTAAATTAAAACGATATTCGTGGAGAAATAGGGGGAGACGCGCGCGTTTCAAAGAAGATCGCCTCCGAGAGATACAAACGAAACGCGTCCTCTAACTTCTCTTTATTATTAACGAACGATATTTCCATCCATTATTATTCTATATCGCTTCTCCCGCGAACAGCGGCTAAGAGGGGAACCATCGCTCAACCAGGGCACAGTCAAATTGTCCAACTTTGGCTTTTCCACTCGCGATCATCGAGTTATAAACTAAACTAGGTTGAGCGCCCGATCGAGTGCACTCCGAACAAAGATTCTAACAACAAACAATGATCTATCTTCCAAAATTGATAATCTTCGATGCTATGGAATATTCTCTCGACTTTGACTTTCTTCGTTACAAAAAGTTCTCTCTCTCTCTCTCTCGAAGGCGGAATACAATTTATCGATTATTTTTTTACTTGTTCGAAGGGCCGAATGCTCGGTCGTAAAGTCGCTCATTCCGATAACAATGACGTATATAACTGACCGCACATCGTCGATATCGTAGTGGTAGTAATAGGTGAACGTACTATATACAACATATGTATCGTGTTACAAAGCCACATGTACGGTCTTTCACGTGCTCGTGCAGGTGCGAGTAATAAGCCCAGCTGGACACATTCCGCAATCTCTCGTACAATCTCTTATCACCAACGTAAATTATCATACGATGTATCAGGGAACGTTCGATTTTTAAACCGATTCCAATAAGAGAGCGCGCTTTGGAGCACTTGCTTTTTAACGAGCGAATGCGATCTTAAAAAAAGGAAAAAAAACTCGCGTCGCGTGCAGTCGCCCTCTATACTCTGGACGAGGCGACGACGAATCATCTATTTTTCTTCGTTCATCGGACGAAGAGGGACAAAGAGATCCACGTCGCTCGATCCGCTCCTCCGAAGTAATAACGATAATAGTTGCGAGAAGTCGTAAATATCCAGAAGAAGAGTCGTAATCACGTTCGTAATAACCACTGTCATTAAAATATTTCGATAAACATTTTGTTTAAACATTATGTTTAGATCGTGGATAATGCAACTATCGATAAAAACCACTTCTTTGACCTCGTTCGTGCTCGTACGACATTACACCGAACACTTCCATCACCGTGTTTCATTGTCGGCCACAAATTTTTTATTTTCGTTTTACGTACCTATTAGGACTTTCTCCGTAAAAAACTACTCTCGCTACTTTTTTACTACAACCGGATATATAAATACACTCGAATAAATTTTTCTTTTATCTCTTTGTTGGAACGAGAAGGAGAAGCGCGGGATAAAAGGATTATCAATGAGATGCATGGACGGGTTTTGAAGCATTCGATGTACTATACACGTAGGAGAACGAACTTAACAAAGTTTCATTTACCGAGAAATGGGGAGGATTCGGAATGGCCGCGAGAGGGGTGGAAGGAAGGAGTAACGGGGGGAAAAAAAAATATATCAGGAGGAACGACGCAATAACCATATATAAATGCGGAAAATGTAATATCTACGCAAGAACAACAGAGCGTGTTAGCTCGGTATGTAAACTGTTAGCTGCACTAGAGTATACGCTAACAGAGACGACGAGAAGGTAATACGTATCTCGCACTCGTGCACCGTACAATCGTGCTACAAATACGCATACCACAACGAATTATGGGAAACACAACACGCAAAGTACATAATGACGAGCCTATATTAACGGATGAAACGATCGACAAACAGATCGGATGTCGTTGCTAATGGACAAAGTAAATAATTTTTTTTAAAAAGAAAGAAAAAAATCACGCGAAACGACCATAAGAATTAAATATTTCATATATATATATATAATTTATTACGTGTGTGTATATATATATATATTTATTTCTTTTCCACATGTATCGTACGATTTTTTTGAATTAATTTATTCTACGTCATATACGTCGGTCAATAGGCGTCCTTCACATTCTCGGGTTAAACGAACCGAAATGAGAAAAGTTTTCACAGCGCAATATGCGATGCATTCAACCATTTCCCCTTCTTACTTTTCTTTTGTACCGGTACTAATGTTCCGAAAGAGTACGGGAAATAATAAAAGGGATGAACCGAGATAGGATTTCTCGGAGAAAATAATAGAAAGCAAAGATCCGACCGATGTTGTAAAAGTTAAATTATATTATTACCGAATCGAAAGAAAAAAAAAAGAAAAAAAAACTTGGCTTCGAATATAATATCTTTTCACGACGTTCGATCAACGAATCGTGATCACCATCGATCGCAGTCCGTCGCGTCTACCAACTTTCCTATACTTTTTCTTGCGAATAATTAAATGCCTGTAATGCCTCTGGCGTTATCGTAATTATGCTTGCCCGATCGTTCGAACGTTGGAAAGAAATAAAGTCGTAAAGTTTTTTTAAAACGTCGTTGAAGATTCTTTGAGATATTACGCGTAAGAGAGTGGCGTTGAAAAGTGGCACAAGTGGAATATATACACGAAATAGATGGTTTAAGCAATAAAAATATGCTTCTTTTAGTAGTACGAAATCGTTCATGCATTCTTTCTCTCTCTCTCTCTCTCTCTCTCTCTCTCCACCGATCCCATTTTAACCGTGTCTTTTCTTTTCTCTTTTATTCTTGACCCGCAATCTCTTACCCCAGTCCCTTTAAATTCCAGTTAATATTAGATGAGAGCTACCGGATTAAAAATGAGTATTCTTCGCGGCAACCCTCCTCCCCCAACTTTCCACCCAAGCGGTAACTGTGATATTTTTCTTCCCCTTTTTTCCCTCCCCTTTTCATTCTAACCAACGAATTTTCAAACTTTGTTTTTCCCATGCAAATGTCCTACTTTCATTTTGTTCGAATACCAATTTTCCAAAATTACCATCAAGCGATAACATTTTCATCGATCATTTCTTCGCTGCTCTCCATACTTTCTTCCCGACACTTCTCGATTCATCTAAATTCTCCAGCTTTATTTCAAAATTACGCGATGCAATTTTTTTCCCTTCTTTGAAAATTATTTCAAAGACGGAATAAATTTGGAAAAGAATTTGGGGAAGGGGGAAAGAAAAATAACATTTGGACAGGAAGAAATTTAACGACGACGACAAACTTTTCGTGAAAATCGGATTACAGTTTTCTTTTTTTTCCCCACAAAATCGCGAAACAGATGTAAACGGAAGAAGAAAGTGTCGTGTTCGAGCGAAAGTCGTAGTTGACGACAAAGTTGCGAGTCAGGATGACTCGCGATGAATAAGAATCGATCGAATTTCTGTTGATAAAGGTTGGTAACTTTAGCTCGAATAATAGTAACCGAAGGTAGGATGCGACTAACTCTCTCTCGCCTCGATTTTCCTTAACTGTCCGTCTCTTTCTCTTCCGCTGATTCGACCAGTAACTTCTGGACTAACCGGATTAACTAACCCCCCTCCGACAACGGAAACGATTCTCTGTTCTCTCCGCCGTCGTAACTCGTTCATTTCGAGTTTATCCCCCGAGATGGCGTTATGATAAGAAACGTTCGTTTCATTGGATCTCGGTTGTTGATGTTACTCGTTCCAACCACGAACGGACAACAAGCAAGTACACACCGCG